TAGGTTTACTAATTATCTCAAAAGTGAACATTACATTGTTCTAAAAGTGGTATTTTTAAATCCGTCTTAATCAATCATCAGGAGGAGCTCTTAGATTAACCGCTTAAGATAGATGGGTTCGTTGAAGCGGCTAACCTAACCTTGGCTTTAACGCGGAGAAGAATTAGCAGAATATGGATAAATGGGTCCGTTCGGTAGGAGTCTTTAACCTGAGAATATTAATTAAAGTCGTTAGTGCACGCAGAACTACCATCATACTGTAGATATGTGTTAGGGAGAACAGTTTAGTTTTGTTTTTATTGAGGTTTCAAGGTATCGAACTTATATATTACTTAGTATTCTGTGTAGCATGTTATTTGTAGCTGTCATTTCATTATATTTCTTCTCAGGCAGTTCAATAAGATACTATTGAAAAGAGAACCATCTCTAAATAATGTATAAACCTTTGTCGTTACTTTATTAGGTAAAACTAAAAAAATTAAACCTTCTGAATATGATTACTTTCTGTTTGTATTTAATTTTTACTTACTTATGTTATGTTATCTTTATTTATGTTATGTTTATTGAAGCCTGAATATCTGTTGGTAATTTACTTATTTCGTTTTGAGCCATTTCTAGCTTCAATTCAATCAGCAATCGACACGAAAGAGACTTAAAAAATATTGACTCAAAACTGACAACTAAAGAGACAGCTTTATTTATTTGTCAAATTACATAGAAACCAACGCCAACCCGGCACAATATTTTTTCTACTCGTAATAAATTCCTTGAAATAATAATTTCTGAATATTGTTCAAAACGTAACTCGCTATGGAAAATTTAACCGCCTAGATGTTTCACAATACAATTTCAAATAGGATCTATTCTTACATTTTATTTTCTTTAAAAAGAATATTATCCTATCATTAGTTGCTTTATCTGAATATATCAATAAATGATAAAACACCAAGGTCATCTAATGGCGTCCAAAGTAAGTAAGATCGTCTACGATGACAAATAACTGGCATTTGTCCTGTGGGTGACTTGCAGAATCTCCAAGAGGAAATGAGGGATTAAGGGCACATTCTGTTTAGCGAAAAGCTGACATTTTAATGGGCGTGTTTAACAGACTAAAACATACGGTGGGTTAAAGCGTCCGAATCCATTCGGAAAGGGATTAAGGACGGATGTTTCGGACGTATTTCTGCGAACCTTTCTCCTAAATGCCGATGGACGAGATAGAGCAGGGGTCAAAAATGAATTTTCCGCTTTTTTGAGCTTTAAATTGATCCTAAGTAGTAAGTGGGGTCTTGGCGGCTTGTCTAAAACTGTTAGTGAATTTAATTTCGAGGTAAATGACGCACTGTCATACCAATTTTAATTCAAAGATTAGCTTATATTCTATGAAAAATGATTTTGAGATAAAATTCAGTATTAATTGAGTATATTGAATGTGCAGGGTATAACTGACTATCTTTATTTTTGAAAATAGAACATTCATTCCAATAACAAATTATCGGGGTATATAGGGTTTTTAATCAAGTTTTATTAAGCTTCATTCAGAGCCTCGCAATTAGTGGAATAAATGATTGGTTTCTTATTCTCTCTATGGATACAACTGACCACCGCAAGCTGTTGCTAGGATATTCTATTAATTTTTATTGTGTTTTTGAGACGTTGTGAATGATCGTAAACTAAAAAATATAAGGTGTAATTGAAGCCACTAATTTATTCCACTAAGTGCGAGGTTCTGAATGAAACTTTAAGCAATTCCAACCTTGCAATTCCTCCCAAAATGACAGTCCTCGCAAATTTTAAAGTATAATTAGTGGAAACGTCAAAAGTTTGTTAACTTAAATTATTTAAAATCGGCTTGTCCAAAATTATTCAATTTGGCATGTGTATTGAGCATACGCAGACCTTGAAGAAACCTCTTTAGGGTGTAGCTGTAAAATTAATAGGGGAGCCAATATTTGGACAGTTCAAAATTTGCATGGGACTTCCTGTTTCCAACGATGATGGTATGCAAAAACTAAGAGTACGGCCAATAATAATAATGATCATTAAAAAAAAACTTAAAATATATTATCTTGGTAACTTTTTAAAGCTAATTTTCTTTATATACACCTAATGTATCAGGACTCTTTCCCTCCAAGTTATTTTAAACAAAGAATTTAATATCATACTACCATTAAGTGCAGATGAATTTTGCATTGGCTGTTTCTGTCACGCATGAAGCCAAACCAAATAATACCGAGGATTGAACGGGGCGTAATGATATGCAATTTGAATATTTTTGCCGCAATCGATACCTGTGCATAAACCGAAATTGTACGGGTGGTGTTTTTTGAAAAGGCCGAGGTAAAATACCGCATATACGGAACGAGTATATATCATTTTTCGAATAATACGCAATAATATTAATAAAATGAGGCATTGTAAATAGCGCCAGATGTAAAATTTATGGTCGGCATGTGTAGATAATTCAGGGGCAGCTAAATTATTTATCGAAAGTTCGAATGCAATATTATTGAAGAGAGATATCATATTTAATGCTATATTTCCATTAAATTCTCTTTACAATATTAATAATGTGAAACAAATAATATAGGTTTGTTAATATATTATATCTAAACAGGATTAATATTATATCATCATCATTCTCATCATCATTTTCAGCTTATTCAACCACTTACAATTATGATGTGAATTCAGATAATTTCTTTGTAGTTGGACCCATTGTTGTATATTGTTGGCTATGCGGGCCGAAGTTATCCATGCTAATTTCCTGATATCATGGTCCCATCTCAGGTTCGGTCTTCTTCTAGGTCTCTTAATTCGTCGGGGGTACCGTGCTGTAATTTTTGTGGTCCATCTGGTGTCCGCCCTTCTTGCCAGGTGTCCTGACCATTGCCATTTGAGGGATTTGACTCTGTTGATGACAACTATTACCTGGCTCTTTTGTCGTATCCACTCTATTCTTTTACGATCTCTCTTGCTTATTCCCAGCATATTTCGTTCGATTTAGCGTTGTGCGACCTGCAGTTTCCTTATGATGTCCATTTTAAGTGTCCAGGTTTTGCATGCCTAGGTCATGACTGGTAGTAACACATTGGTCGAATGTTTTCTTCTTTAGATAGAGTGGTTTTTTTTACATTTAAGAGGTGAAGGGGGAAACCTGCAACAGGTACTCGCCTGGGAAAACCTACTATATGCCAGATGAGTTATGTGGGATTTTTACCTCACTAAAACCTAACCTACACCTCTGTCCTCTCTCCAGGAACGTTCTTTCGCCAGCGGCACTCTTTGTAAATACTACTTCGCCGGGGCGTTCTTATTTGGTGTTACTGCTGTCTATTCTTCGTAGGTGGTGCGAATATCCTTGAGTATGGTCTCAGCATACTCCGCTACCTTGTTCCATGCCGATTGATTCTTCAGCATGCAGTCCAAGATGCTCGAAAGCATCCATGCCCAGTCAAGAGTTGGGTGATGTAGAATCCAACCTCCCCGTGCACACGGGTGATCCATTTGGTGACATCCGGGATTAGTCGATGTGTCCACCGACCTTTAGTCGAGCTGTCCCATCTCACTTGCCAGAGACGATGACTTTCAGGCCTCTCTTCTTCACAGAAGACCTGTCGCTGCACGGCTTTCTTCTTGCGGTGTTGTCGCTGGTGTTCTCCCGTCAAGATGTCGATAGGCAAGCATGATACTGCATCATGTGATACCGTCCGGTATGCTGACGCCACTCTGATCGCTGAGAGTCGGTGGACTGATGTAATTGTCCCGCTTAGATAGTCCTTCGTTCGATTTAGCGTTGTGCGACCTGCAGTTTCCTTATGATGTCTGTTTTAAGCGTCCTGGTTTCGCATGCCTAGTTCATGACTGGTAGTACACATTGGTCGAATGTTTTCTTCTTTAGATAGTATAGAGTGGTGGTGATTATAAAATGTAGTAGACTTGCACTAATATTTTAAACATTTATCCAACTTTTTCTGTGATAAACTAATTACTTTTAATTGCGTAACTTTGCATAACTCAAAATAGACTCGTTAGTTGTAGGCAATCATTAAATGAGAGGAAACGAAATCGATTATTATGTTTTCTAACCTGTCTGTCCGTATATAAACAAATACCTCGCTACATTCCCACTATCATTTTCATTAATTTAAGTTGTAAATCGCCCGGTATTGGTAATTAAGTGACTAACAGCGCTTAGAGCATCCGCAGAGGAAGCAAGTGATATTTTTTTAGTTGAGTCAATTATCAACAGGTTTCCCTAATTTACTTCTTTCTTTTTATAGAGTGATAAAAACCCGTTTCATCTAGGTGTCAGAATATCTATATGTATACAGGGTGGTCCGATTTGTATTCCGGAAATTTATTTTTGAGTATAGAATATTAAGTATATTCTACAAATAAAAATAAATAAAAATGTTCCTGTAAATGTAAGTCCTAACATCATTCACTTCGGAGATATAGGGTGTAGAAGTTTCATTTTTATTTCAATTATTAGATACCAAATAGTTTCTGAATTAACGTCGGCATTTGGATGAAAATTGGTTTCTGAGTGTTTTTTGACATAAGAAATTTTAATTCTATGTCAATATAACTCCCACTTGTAGGTGGCGCCACCTACAAGTTTTTTTTATCTGTTTTGAAGAGTAATACATTTTTGTTCGTACCTGTATTTATTAAATTACTGAGTGAAAAAAATATACATTTTCGTCATTTATTGCAGTAAAACCTCTACGAGTAATGTTTCACAAGATATATGGAACCGACATAAACAATACATGTCATCACTGACAAAATTTAAATATGTCGGCCCTAATTAACATATTTAAATTTTATAAAACAGTTTCTATAGATAGATCCTTAATCTTCATTACAAGAGCTTCTCTACCATGGCAACTTACAATTGCTACTTATAAAGTTTGAGAAGATGTCATGGTAACGATTTTCTTCAAATGAAACTAAAGTAGAAATATTTATTCTTAACGTTGAACTTCTTATTTCAGAATGACACCATGCGCATCGTCTGGGCGTTCCACCGCGACGAACCGCTAGGTGGCGCGGTGGGTCCCAAGTCCTTACCGCGTCACGATCTAGGGAACAGGGGTGCGCAGAGTCTGTATTTGGTGCAGCGCGCCGATCAGGAAGCTCCCCGACCGGAAGAGACTGCCAGGATGTGGGAGTTGAGAAACCCGGCAGTGGAACCACCGTCAATACCTGGAGACACGTTGTACTGGTGTAGGGTGTTTAAAATACCGGCTAGTATTAGTAGGAAACACCATTTGATTAGGGTAAGTGTCAAATTTAGTTTAATATCTCATGTAGAAGAAAAATGATATCCAAAAAATGACAGAAATTACAATTTATCTCTGAATTAAAATAACCAACAACAACTGTAACTATCATGTATTTTCTCGTTACAACAAACTTTATACAAAGTAAAACTTCTGACGAGGGGTAGGGGACAAAAAACTCACCATTTTTTAAAATGTTTATTTAACTTTAATTTGCTTCAAAAAAAAGAAGGGGGCGACATGTTTCGGGACTTAATAATTCCCATCTTCAGGCCCAGAAAGATAAAATAATTATAATCAGAATAATAAACAAATTCTAATAAAGTCATATAGCGGTCAAAATGTAAAATACAATCATAAACAAATTAAAAGGTTAAACATTTTTTAAAAGAGGTTAAAAAAAATAACCTTTTAATTTGTTTGTTATTGTATTTTATATAATGTATGTATTTTATATATACTTTGGCGTCGACTACTTTTCAACTCTTATATGTTTAACTCCGTTGTCGAAACCAATGAAGAATAGATATTAGAAATAAACAATAATTTTAAAGCATGAACTGAAAACTAAAAATCGGCGATACTTTGTCTAGATAGTTAGACTCAGAAGAGGATATCTACCTATATCCTTAAAATATATTTAAAACAAAATTTTAGCATCCTCTTGATACATTTCATTAAACTAATTAAATATTATTGGCGTTTAATATGAGGAAATCCGACAAAATGCAGGCAAAATAATTATGTAAACGAGCTATATATGCACACACGTACCGCTTATGAATTAGTACCTCGTTTAGAATTCGAAGCATAATAACCCACGTCAAAGATTAAAATTTATTCGCGATTTTAGATTGTCGCGCTGGCTAATTTAATTTGGCCGTTAGTACGTCAAACTTGCACACACACACACAGAGAGAAATTATCAAAATTGGTACAACTCCATGCAATTATGTAGAATATATTCAAATACACTCCTCTGCTCTCACTCCCGTTCATTCTCCGCACCGTCAACATCGCAACAACGTGCACACGTAGATTTAGATGCAATCAGTATAAATTATAATTTGCCGGCGCGGTTTTACAACACATATACATATTTAAAGTTGAAATAGTTAAACTGTATTAATGTCGGAGCAATGAGAAATCGTTTTGGAGCTGACTGTGTGTGAGTGTTTAAGCAAAGTTGGGAAGCTCTGTTACAGCGAGATGCTAAAAAGTTTCCGATTGTGTTAGTTTTACATTTATGATTTAGAAAATGTACGTGTTCGAGTATTATAATAGCTGTATTCTGATTTCCATTTTAAATGGGCATGAGGGAATTTCTGTGCATATAAGAATTAAAAGTTTTAATGTTTTATACGTTACTTTTTTATTTTGTCCATAGCAACTTTAACAGTCAGGATAGTTTAAAAACTTTATTTCTTCTCGCACGTTTTTTAACTGCTTCCATTTTAGAAAATTTTTGTATTCCTTTTCATAAGTTATTCGGGATTTAAATGGAAGTAGTTTGGATATGGCGTTTGTCGCCTCAGCCTGAATATCTGTTGATAATTTACTTATTTCGTTTTGAGCCATTTCTGGCTCCAATTCAATCAGCAATCGACACGAAAGATAATTAAAAAATATTGACCCAAAACTGAAAACTAAAGAGACAGCTTTATTTATTTGTCAAATTACATAGAAACCAACGCCAACCCAGCACAATATTTTTTCTACTCGTAATAAATTCCTTGAAATAATAATTTCTGAATATTTTTTAAAACGTAACTCGCTATGGAAAAAAATATTGTTTTATACAAAACGATAAAATTGCATTATCGTCTTGTATAAAAAAAGTAACTATTTTCAATACTGTTTATAGGTAAACACACCGGAAAAGTCTAGGGATATTACAATTTTATCCAGCCATCGTCAGTAATTTTATTATCTGATATAATAAAATTAAAATAAACAAATAGTTTACAGGACGTATTGGAAATAAAAATGCGAAATTTACCGAGTTTTTCAAATTTACCTTGATTTTTATTGAACTCAAAAAAATACACACATTTTTTTTTATTCTAAACTGTGAATTAAAAAAAAAGAAAAAACCATTTTTACTTAATAAAAGGTATGGCCTCCTCTACTGTTCATTACAGCCCTACATCGTCTCTCCATGCTCCTGATCAGATTGTCGATCTCTTCTTGAGGTACAGCTTACCACGCTGCATTCACGGCCCGAACCAGATCCCTACGACTTTCACGAGGCATACCCATTCTCAAAATTCTTCTTTGGACCGCGTCCCATACGTGCTCGATGGGGTTGAGGTCAGGAGATTGTGCCGGCCAGGGTAAGATGTTTAATTGATGAGCATTGATAAACTCACTTACCACTCTGGCTGTATGAGGCCGTGCATTCTCATGCATGAGAATGAAGTTTCTCCCAAAATCATTGGCATATGGTAACACGACAGGCTCAAGAATTAAATCACGATATGTGATTCCTGTTAGAAACCTTTCAAGAAAAACGAGATCGGTTTTTCGGCCTAACTGGACTCCTCCCCAGACCATAACTGTTCCACCTTGATAAGGGTGCACTTCCTGAACATGATCCAACCGAATAAGATTTCCCGGTTCTCTCCATACCCTAAGCCTTCTCGAATCCGGATGAATTCCAAAGCGTCACTCATCCGTGAAGAGAACATTGGCCCATTGTTCATTCGACCACTGAACATGATCTTGAGCCTACAAATATCGTACCTCTCGATTTCCTCTCGTTAAGGGTTGAGTTCTCCAGGGGCGTCTGCTTCTTAAGTTGACCTCTCTTAATCTATTGCGAACAGGGTCAGGACTAACGGTTACATTATGTGTTTCTGGAGAATTAAACCAAGCTCTGGTGCTGTAAGAGTCGGTCGGCGTCGAGCATTTAATTGTAAAAAATGATCTTGCTGAGGGGTAGTAATGCGATGTCGCCCTGTGTGCTTTTCAGCAACATCACCACTTTCACGGTAGCGTGCACTTAATCGCGATATTACACTTTGTGTTGTATTTAATGCTCTAGCTACGTCGATTTGGCGCACTCCAGCTTCGAGCATACACATGGCCTTAGCATTTCGTCTCTGTTAAGATGTCTACGCTCCATAATGTCGTTTAATACTAAACAGAGTTATTTGAATGAATTCTGGCCAGTTATCATAAAAACATAGCCAGTACAGGTTAAATTCGAACAATTGATGCTAGGCGCTTTTTATACATTTGACAAAAAATGCACAAACACTTCTGCAAATATCCCAAATTTAGAAATAACTAGTGTGACTACTTCGGTTCAATCGAAGTAGAAAGAATCGGCCTACAAATATGTGATTGTTTATTGAAAACATATAGTTTTAACTTTAATAAAATGATATCCTTAGATTTTTCCGGTGTGTGTATTTTAAACCCCATAGTTTTTTTTGAGTACATACCTAGTCAAAACATCCAGCGAGTTGCGATTGAAAGTCAAAAGCATATATTTCCAGTAAAATTAAATTCAAATTGATGTCGAATATCATACATAAACATAAGTAGCAGAAACAAAATCCTAAAAATAAAAATATATGTACGTTTTCCATTAGATTGTTCAAGAACGCGTAAGCAAATGGCGAAAATATAAAGGTAAGCGAGAAAAAAAAAACAGAAAAATACACTTTCTTAAAAAGTGCGAAATCGAGGTTCGAACTCCGGAAACGTCAGAAACATATTCGATATAAATTTAGCATACTTTACGGAAATAGCTTATATTTTACATTCAGTAGGTGTCAGTCGGCGGAGACCTTAAAGTACAGATTTTCCTTCCATATACGCTTATTCAATTTCCACCGCTCGGCGGAAATACAAAGATTTTCGTCCGTGTCGCGTAGCTTTTTTGATGTTCCCGGGGGAGAGATGTAAATCGACCCAGTTTCGACGTTTGGGGACTTAAATCTAATGTTTTAATGTGGCGGATGGGTTTTAGGGAGGGTCTAGATTGAAATTTATACGTAGAAAATGAGACCATAAAGCATTTAGATTAACAGAGAAAGAAGAAACTTATTATAACTATGGAGATTGGGCATTGTTCATGTTTTGTCTTATTTTTGATAAACTTTTCCTTAAATAATAAAAATAATCTTCAAAATCTAAGAGCAATTAGTAAAATGACGATAATTTTAGTTTTTAGTTTTAATTTTGATCGTCAGAGATCAAGTCTGCCGCTCTATAGAAGACCAAAAAAAACGGCGTCAGCGATGGCTATGAAATGAATATCGCTGTCATTTTATATGTAAAATTATATGGGGAGTGTCATCGATCGTTATTTGCAAGCCAACTAAACGCCGTTTTTTTTTAAACATACTTTTCGGTATTACTGTAAAGCAATCCCATTCAATGTATAACCTAAATTTATACTCTCTAAACTATATACCGAGTGCATCTGAAAAGTGGCACAACCCTATAACTTTGTTTGACTATAACTTTGAAGATTTGTGATATTAGTATATGACATAAATTAGAACTGATTGACGTATTCAATTGTTTTCGGTTATTTTCTTTTTCACCGGAAATGACTTATTATTTTTAACTGGCACCTTCGGTATTTTTTTTATTTTTTTTTGTTAATTTTACTTTATCTATTGGATATATAGATTTGATCGTCTAATGTGTTTAGTGTCTTGTCCTGGCCGGTTAAAACATGCACAAATCGTATTTTTAATCATATCTCAATGTAAACGAAAACGGAACGAGGGTGTTTTATTAGCATATTTGGAAAAAGCAATTTTTTACGAATAATTTGATACCACACACTTGGTATTTCAATTGAGTCAAATTGTCGTTATGAACCGCATGTTACAATTTGAAATAAACCATGTGCAAAAATGTCAAAAGTTGACATATGATATGTCATTCTATTCAGAGTGTCATTTTCTATCGAATAAAGTACAAAAATAGCGAGGGTGCCAATTACCAAATCTCGTTTTTTATCTGAAAAAATAAAAAAA